CAGTCCTGTTCCTCGAATCGATTTGACTATGGTTTTGAGCGACACCATGATTTTGCATAAGCTAGTATCTCTTCTCAGCACAAATTTCCTACTCTTCACTTGCAACTCCATCGTCGAGGACTTCCAATCCACCATCATCTCTTTCAATGTTCACCGTCACTTTATCCCTAAAATCACATTTGTGCTGCCCAAATCTAAAAAAAATGAAGTTCTTCACCACCGGTAGACCATGTAGTGTCAAACCCAACCCCTTGCAAATTTCTCGATTGTTCTCCACCTTCCCTGTCCTCGTCATGAGGTTGAAGCTCCATGTAGTCACCAACTTCAACCCTAGCTTCTCCATAACCTGATTTGAGATAAAGATGTGTGTGGCCCCCGCTAACCACAAACACAACAATCGACTGTTCCCCGATCTATCCCCTCACCTTCATGGTGTGATTTAGGATAAATTCGACCACCAAATTGAAAGACATCTCCGCCACATCCAAATACAGATGCTCCTCCTCCATTGCATCCTCTTTTGATCCCTCACTCTTTGTATCCTCCTCCCGAACTAACAGAAACTGAAGGGCGCCCTCTTTGCAATGGTGTATTGAGTGTATTTCTCATTACAACGGTAACATAATCATTTGCTCATTTATCCCGCACTTTTGCATCTATAAGACGTTGACACTACCCTCGGGATTCAATCGTCTCACAGTTTTAAAAATACCACAACCTCTACACACCAACAAATCCACAACGCCACTACCACCACCTCCACCACCTTCGCACACCAACACATGGCTCATATACGTTTGGATTAGCCATTTGTATTTCCAATTTATTGCACATGCAATCACCACCACCACCTACTTTTGGCTAACACGATCAACATAATAGAGAAAACAAAAATCAAGTTCGTCAACATGATGTAGCATAATGAACCCAAATCATCATCCGAGCATAACACAGAGAACCCAAAAAATCTCAAAATCCAACATAAACTCGAAACCATCAAAGGATAAAAACACAGAGAAATGAGGAAAAACATTGCACATTAGTGTTTGCGAAATAAAAACCCATGGCATAGTTAACAAAGAGAACGTTAGAAGAGGGATCGCGACACAGAGGGTGATGCCAACGATCCAAACTGAGCCAAAGAACATAGAAGAGATGGAGAGGAAAAATGGAAAGCTAGCCGCAACAACCATCAGAAAGTTAGGACAATAATCGCTAGAAAGCGTGCACAGTAAGAATCGCGAGAGAGGCAGGGGCATACACAATCGTGAGTGTTTCAATGGAGTAGCCCAACCAGCTATTGGAGAAAGAACGCAGGTCCCAGGGTCGAACTCACTCCCACGTTTCCTCCAAATTATCAAATTAAGCGGATGCACTACTTTTATCAAACACACGCTCCCTCGGGCCACACCGCAGGAAATAAGCCGCCCCAAACTTGATCTAAGCCATTTAGGCTTGATTAGTCTCGATGGCTCACCCAACTTGATTTTAATTTTCCTATAATAGCCTCAATAGAAAGTAATTGGATTGATGTTTATTTTTTTATAGGGTGAGTGCAAGTTGTTTAAGAAAGTTGACTTGGTCAAAGGTAATGGATAACATTCTCTCGATCTTACTGAAAGTAATACTGAGTATCATGTTGAATTAATTATAAAAATAATCTTATTAATAAATTTTATTTTTTTATAAATTTTTTTTCATAAGTTTATATAATTATTCATTTGTATTTTACACTAGAGGTATTTACATACAAATCAAATTTATATATCTAAAATCTATATTTTAAAATTTATTTCTAGGGACTTTTACATGCATAGCACACAATTTCTTACGCATTTAAATTTTCATATTTACAAATTTAACACTAAGTCTTTAATATCATAACAAAAATAATACTACTATCATTTTTTTAAAAAATAAAACACATATTAATGCATATTTTAAAAAAACACACACACACACACACACATATATATATATATATATATAACTCTTTTGTTTGCAGAGTTTGTAAGACTTCTTGAGGTCAAAAGTTCGATCTCACCTGCCTTTGTGCTTGATTAAATTCTTAGGCATATAAGATTAATCGAGAGGCTCGTCAAATAGCCTCAGACCAATCTTTTATATATATATATCTGAAAATTTTGATGTGAAATACACAAATACATAAGATTTGTGTGCTATCTATATGAATTTCCATTCTTTAACACTTAAATTTTTAACTTTGTATAGAAATATCATTAATTTTAATTGGTTACTAAAATACATTTATATTAATTTGTTATATATATATATGGCATGTTGGTAGAGCATCCTCTTTGAAGATCGCAAGTCCCCTCAGGTCTCGGGTTCGAATCTCTTTCTGGTGCAATGCCTCATTTAGGCAGATGATACTTGAATTTATTTGCACACCGCGCTAGCTCCTAGACCCAACGATAGTTAGTGCAATAAGGGTTGATTGACGATTTTGCCCGTTGATATATATAAAGGAATCGATATTTGACAGAGACCCAAATACCAATTGTTTGTGTTATGCCCTATGGTGAGAAGGCCGCACCATGTGTTATTATTCAAGGATCACCGCACCACAGGGATTCGAACCTTTGATCTAAAGGAACTTTAACCCCGCCAACCAAAAGGCCAAGGCATGAGTGCATGTATATGTGTGTGTGTGTGTGTGTATATATATATATATATATAAAGTTTTTTATGATTAAACCTGCATATCAGGAGATTTATAGTGATGAAAGTATGATGAACATATCACTTATTTAAATTTTGTTATAAAAGCTTTATGAATATTATGATATTTATATTGAGCATGAGATTGATGTTGATGGCGAAACAGTTAGAGATAAAACATTAACTATAAATAATGATGAAGCAAATCAAACAAGTGAAGCAAAAAAGTAAAATAATTACCATTAATTCACTACATATACAAACGAAAATGCAAGAAATCTATCAAATCAAACTTGGATAACTATTTAGAAAGTGGCCCAGAGATATGTTCAAAACTTTGTATGGAAATCGTGCTAGACCTTATTTGTGGATCAAATTATATTCATTCTCATTACAGATTAAAGGGATGAAATCAAGAACATTAAAAACTATTGTTCCATATCATTATTTGAGATATTATCTAATGATATTTTGAATACATTGTTCTCACCTTCTCAATCAACATAAGTTTTGTGGAATGCGTCAATAATTTTAGACATTGTGTGTAGAGATCACAAATACAGAAAACTAAAAACATATTTCTGTAATCTCTAATTTGTATTCATATAATATGAAGTAACAGTCTACATGATGTTCTCTCTACAAGACAACATATTCAACTATGTGAGACACAATAAATAGGAAGAAAAAAGCATTAAAATGAAAAATTTTAAGCTCCCATGTCTAACTTTTCATACACAAACTCAAATGTTTCTAAAAGTGGATCACAAACACGAGAAGGATAAGAGGCTTTCAAAGAAATAAAACTCAGCGTTGGGCATTCGCTGGGACACCTCTAGCTCAAACTCAAACGACACTCCATGAAAACCATGAAAGTAATCAAATGTAACATAAGAAATTTGACTTAAGTTTGTGAATGCGGGTGCAACGGCTGTGAAGCAGGACGATAATAGTTCCGGGACCAAAAGGGATGCAGGCTATGGCTTCGGCTACTATGCAGGTGCTGGATGAGTATCAATGCAAACGTGGAACATACTCTACGTGACTAGAGTGAGAAGGGGAGCAACGACTACGGGGCTAGAGTGAAATGACACGGGAGCGAGAATATGATTTAAATTTTCAAAATAGAAGAAAAGAAGATTATTAATACCTCCCATCGCGCAACTACGTCCTCATATTAGCAAATCGAACAATCCATATACCCCAAGTTTCACCAAATATAAATTAATCGAGCAGCTCCTCGAGTTCACAAGCTGAATCACTCCAAACTCCAATCGGTAATAAGCTGAAATTCAAATTTGAGGCTCAACAAGCTTGATTCGTGAGCTGATTATTGAGTCAAATTCAAGTCAACTTGAGAGTCAGTTTGACTCACCTACACCCCTAAGCAGGACCACAAAACAAAATCAATGCGCACAGGCAAAACATGTGGGCTAAGTTAAAGCATACTGATTTGGTTAAACAGGGTAAAGTTAACAATGAAACCAGTGTTGAAAATCCTAAAGCCATTGAATTCTAATATGGTAATATTAAATAAATAAAACAATCTAATAAGAACATAAAAATCTCAATAAAATTCAACTTTTAGAGGCTTTACAATAACTTCCAGCAATAAAAAGTAGAAAAAAAGGGATTTAAATACATGACGCCATTCTATAACACATAACTCTAATGTATCTGCATACCTAACACCTAAATTTTAATATATAAATACTAAAATTTCTAACGCTACAAAAAAATGTCACTGATATTAACTCCTTTTTAAATGAACCATATATTTTGATGTGATATGACACAAAAGTGTTATACATAAATATCAAAATTTATACAAACAAATACGAATTGTGAGGTATGCATGTAAATACCCCAGTAAAAAAATGCGCTAACCAGCAAAATGACATAAATTTTCCTGAGATATTTATAGAAAAGTAGCTGTCATTAATTCAAGCTTTTAAGTCAAAGAACTTAAAAAATAAGGAAATCAAAATTTGGACCATTTGGTATTGTGAAACAACTAAGCTAAGCCAGCCACACTATATGCCCACTGATCTCAAAATTGCTTACTTTTGAAATTAAAAATATACCAATCAGTTTATTCCAGTACTAGCTATAATCATAAAAAGCATATATTTACCAACATTATAGAAAAATGCGTTAAAACTATGATCAACACAATATCTTAAAATCATCATAAAACAGAAAAAATCTTTAGTCATCATATTGAAACAAAATAGAACAGAAATTAATTCTAACTGAAAATTCCTCCACTCAAAATAAGCAAACAAAAAAACTGCAGCAAGTCTCAAATTTGTTCTTCAAAAAACCAATATAGATGATGCAAGAAGGGCGACTAAACCTAGTTCATGCGGCGGATAAGCTCGTTTATATAATCTTCCCTGTTTCCAGCATCTCCACCTTCAACATAATGATTCCTCTTCTTCTTCAGTCCTCCAAGTGGTGCCTTCAGCTTAAATGGCCAAAGAAAGTTATTGGCCTCCTTAAAATGAGGCCCTACAGAGAAAATTTCATGAATGAGGTCCTCAATGCATATAATATCATGCTTTCCTAGCCCCTGAAGCCAAAAATAAATAATAATAAATAAATAAATATCTTAAACTTATATAAATAAGTTAAAAAAATTGTCATTTTGCAGAGAATTTATACAGCATATATGAATCTAGACCTGCTCAATGATGTCATTGCTGGTCAATGGAATCCTTTGCTTGTTCAGTTTCCCATAGCCCCTCTTGTATATCAACTCCCTTACGCTTTTAAGGTTTGGATAACTGGAATATTAAAATAACAAATGATCATAAATTTGCTAGCCAGATAAAATTTCGCAGATTAGCATACACATACCACTTAATTCCTATGTATTTACATATCAAACTCCTAAAATTCAATTTTTACATCGATGCCACCAATACCGTAAATATGATTTTATTATGTATTTCCATATCTAACATCTCAATCTGGATATTTACTCATATAACATCCAAAACTTTAGATCACACCAACAATACCATGAATATTATCTTTTTTTTTTAAGTAAATACACATTTTCATGCATATGTTAAAGTGTTGTATAAATAAAAACTAAAGTTTGAGTTAAAGATGCTGATATATAAAAAATTGTGATAAAAAAATATTAACTTCTTTAAAATGAAAAAACATATTTTCGGCCTATGCGAAGGTGTTATATAAACATTAAAGCTTACATGTTAGAGATGCAAATAATATAAAAATAGTGAGATAGGTACTAAATTCCACCAACTTGTTAAGAAAAAGGAAAGTTTGCATGCATGCCATTTAATTCCTAGATATTTACAAATCCAACAACTAAACATAATAGGGCACCTTACTTGTGCATGAAGATGTGTATCTCACTTTTTATAAGTTAAAATAGTGCTATTTTTTTAGGTGATGTGAAAGATTTGGGTGATATGAATGCAAAAAATAAACTTTAGAAGTTAGATATGTAAATACATAGGAATTGGATGGCAGGCGTGTAAATGTACCCCCATCCCCAAAGAAAAAAATAAGGAAATTGATTGACAGGCAGAGAAAACATACCCATAGGTGACATAGGGCTCCACTCTGCGGAGCATATTAATGGTAGCTTTGTTCACTTTTAAGAATACTCCATTAAAAATCTGAGGAAGAAGGAATGTGATAAAGAAATTGCATTGTATTAACCAGGCTTGGAAGTGAAATTAATTTCAAGCTTTTTGCACATAAACCTGTCTCAGGCGCAAAAGCTGCAAAATCTTCTTAGTTTTTGGGTCAATAGCATTGATCCTACATAGAAGGAATCACATAAAAAAAGTTTGAACAGCCAATGTTTACTTAATTAGTCACCCAAACTTTAAATGAATGTATCAATGGAATATGAAGCAGTTGAGTATAACTAATAAAAAAACATTACGATTATCAGCAAAATACGATTAATTTCATGAAATAAGAAATTAATTAGAATCACAGAATGACAATGGTGATAGCGAAAGTGTACCCGCGGATTCTGATGATGAACAGAAGCTTGGCCTCGGGGCAAACGTAGAATCCTCCTTTCAGTCTAGCCTCGCGCTTTAGCTGTATCAGCTCCCTCTCCTGAAAGAGAAATGAAATATATATCTATAAACATTGATTGCAATTCGAGTTAAACAATAAATATAACGGAACAAAATGATGATCTGTGGTTCTCCTCTCGCCTGCTTCTGGTACTCTTTGACATCTTTGTTGTACTGTTCTGCCCTCTTAAAAATGAGTTTGCGATTCTCTTTATTCTTCTTCCTCTTCTCATCTAACTTCTGCTTCTTCTCTAAAGCCCACTGCTCCTCCCTCTTGCGCTTTTTCAATACGGACTCCGGGATCACAGAGTTCGCCTCCGACTCCGTCATTTTCCTAACTGCAATCCCTCCTCTTTGATCAGAACAAAGTTAAGGTAAATCAGATCAAAATTAAGTAGCAGATCGAGGGGGTGAGATCGAAAGGAAAGCTAGGGTTTGCCCGGCACTACCTAGATCGAGCGCTGTGGATTCGGATCTCTAAGAAAATGGCGGCGGAACTCGACAAAAAGAAAGCGGGGAAGAGCTCCAACAATTCATTATACGATGGTTGAAATGGTGGGGGCAAACGATCCAACGGTGAGGGATTCGTGGTGGCTCTGTAACGCAATCTTAAACGTACGATTTTGTAATGGGTTTCTTCTAGGGTTTCGTAGCATGGGCCGGCATGATTTGGGTTGGGCTTCCCGGAGAGCTTGTTTAGTATAAATTATCTGTGAGGCACTGGGCATAGTCGGATGGGTTGTCGTGCGATTCACGATTACGTGATCACATCTGGATCATCATTCGAACATGCAATCGAATGATCTATGACTACCTCAGAAACTCCTTCGTCAAAAATAGTAACTATCTATTTAAGTTGAGACTCCCACGAATTAAAGATATAGAACTTGTCATAATTTCACTCCAAATAATTGAAAGCATATATCTTTATAGAATTGATTTTGTGCCTCCAATAGCTAAATAAGAAATATATATTAACTTTATTATATATTTTGGGTAAGCCCAAAACTTGTTTTGAGGATAGAAAATAATGGGTTTGGGGAAGACCAAAATAACCTAATTAATTATGCAATTTATTATTTAATCTTTTATATCTTTTAGAAATATATATTAACTTTATTATATATTTTGGGTAAGCCCAAAACTTGTTTTGAGGATAGAAAATAATGGGTTTGGGGAAGACCAAAATAACCTAATTAATTATGCAATTTATTATTTAATCTTCTATATCTTTTTATATAAAAAGATAATCATTATTAAATTATTTTAATTATATTGTATTTAAATTAAATTTTTTTATTACAATTTTGCATTGGGTCTTTACATCATAAAAGAGCTAAAATAACAATTTTTTTTATACAGTTTCATGTAGAGAAATTTACGGGAGTGAAATAGGAGATAATATCTTAATTTTATGTGAAGATTTAACATAAACACACTAAGTAAAGTTTCATAAGTGACACTTGAGTATTTGATTGCACAATCTTGAAAAGAAATGAGAGAGAAATAACAACAATATGAGGCATGACTCAATTAAAATATTTCTAATAGTGTATATCATATTTTACAACTAATGTGCTTACCCTTATTGAAGGAATCAACATAGCAGACATGAATCACATATAATGAATTTTGTGGTAGAACCTAAAGTAGGCTCGAGGCATTTAAGTTATATTCGAAAGATTATATCATAGTTTGTTTGATTGTTTTTTTTTTTTAGGATGCGAACAAAGGGACTAAGTAGTTAAGTATAATCTTGGAGTGAATGACAATAATAATTCTGCAAATGATAGCGCATGTTGATGATGGTGCATGTTGCTTTTATTTTTAATAGTTGGCTATAGAGGTAGCAAGCGTTGGCGTTATATAGATATCAAATCTAAGTATACCCATAGAGATGCATCATATGACTAAGGGTACATTGAGTTGGAGATGTGATGGATAAATAAGTTTAATAACTTGAAGTTGCTAATCTTGTTAGGAGAAAGGAGAGATCACGTTTTAACTAGTGTACATAAAAAATATTATGTGCTAATCTTAATGAGATATGATGGTCTAGGAGAAAATAGTATGATGGAGGAGAGCAAGCTCATAAAAGATCATGAAACATACTTGTCCTACCGAGTTAAGCGGTCTAAGCCAAAGCTAGTAAGTCTAAAGCCAACAGAACCACGAGACTGACTAAATACAATTGGAGGATACAAAAATTGTTGTAAAAAATGACGACAATAAAGCGAAAACCAGATTGAGAAAATCACAAAACATAAAACACGGCGGAAACACACACAGATTTACGTGTTTCGGCAAATTGTCTACGCCCACGAAGTTGTAGAGGATTTTATTACTTCGAGGATTACACCCTTGACTACGCCGACTTACAAGAAAGAACTCTCTCTCTCTCTCTCTTCCTCTCTCTCTCTCATCTCCTTATCTCTCTCTCTCTCTCTAATGAAGAGATGCACCTGTTGAATGAGAAGCTTGCTTTTCTTTATGTCTCTCCACCGTAATTCACCTGGGAAAAAGCAAGGGAGAGAAAACAAAAGCAAAAACTTTTCTTTGCCTTTTTCGTAAGCACCAACAGTGGTAGAGATGAATTAGCAGGCCTTTTGTTGTGCTTTTATAAGAAGCATTAAAAAGCAAAACAGGGAATTCCAATCTGCGTTTCTGTGTGAGAGTCTGCAAGAGGGAGAGTTATTGCGGGATCGCGTGAGTCCATTTAATTCTTCAGCAAGAGGGAGGCGGAAGATCAAATATGGACAAGTCTAGACGGGCTTAACAAAGGAATGAATAATAAATTTGGACGTAATTAATTAGTTGTTAAAAAGGTTTAGTGGACTGGCTCCACCGTCCTCAACAATTCTCTCACTTGAAAACTGGGACACTGACTGCATTTCCCTTGGCTGCACCGTTATTTTCCTCAAATATGATATCCTCCACCTTTCTCCACCTGTGCAGCTCAAAGTCTCGGTCTTCATGCCAGAAGACAAACTGAAGCTGCACATAAATTCAGTTTCTCAAGAGTAAAACCTTTAGTTGACATATCATCATCAACGTAGCCTTGTATCTCCAAACTTTTTTTTGGGATACTTATGAATATACTTACAACTCTCATTGCATGAGCAATATCCTGTCTCAGCTGAAGGTTTTTTTCAATAAGTCCAGTCTTTTACCTCTTACTACTATCAAACACAGTCTTCACCAGGTATACCCACTTGTTATGCAATTCCTTCTTCCCTAATGGAAGTTCTGTTAGCTCCCGCTTGTTTGAATTTTCATCTTGTAATATTTCTTTACGGCTTTATGGTTCTTTGATATATCTAAAATATATAGAATTTTTATACACATATTTATACCTATTTTTAAAATATTGTGCTTTAATGAAAATTATTTATGTGTTTTTATTTCAAATACAATCAAATAGATGAAAAATAGTAAAAAGAGTGAAAAGTGGTCAAATTTGAAGCAAAAATGAATTGAGGCGTCTAAGCGCCCGGGACTGGCACTTACGCACCAGTTATATAGAGAGAGTCGCCTAAGTGCAAGGTATCCTGCGTTTAAGCGTTAGAAGTAGTTATTTTATGATTCATTGAATTTAGACAAATTTTTGAAGATGTGTTTGAGGAAACCCATGGTAAAAAAGTGGGAATTAGCCCATGTACAAGAAAATTCATTCAATTAGTTTTTGAAAATATACAACTTTTAGAAGATTCATTGAATGGAGACACATTTTGAAGAGACACCAAGACACCCCTTTGATTTTTATTAAAGAAGACTTGGATGATCGGAGGAGAGAGAATCCACATCCAACAGTCATCATCCATCCAAGCAACCGCCGCCACCGACCACCTTTTATTTTATTTTAAGTTTTAGTTTGTAATGTGAGTGAATGAAGAGAATTCAAAGGAAATTTCAGACATTTGGTGGAGAAGATTTTAGATGAGTGTTTATCTTTGTAACTACATTTGATTTTAATCTGGATTTCTAGTTTTTATGCATGATTTCTACTTTTAAACTCATGTGTAATTGTGTTTTCTCCATGAATTCTGAGTAGTTTTCTTTATCTTTTTCCTTAAAATGATGAGTGATTAAGTGTTTAAAGGAAGTTGTGTGAAGTATTATGAAGTATTAGACTTCAAAGATTAGACTTCAAAGTTGGAAGAAGTTGTGTTGATTTGAAACCTTGTATTTCATTTACTTCTTGATTCGGTCAATTAAGATGGTAATATCTGTTGTGGGAACATGTAAGATCTGAGATAATATTGTCTCGATCAACAAATGGTAAGAATCACATATTGATTTCAGGGATGAGAATATAGTTCATGAGGTTGGGTGCAAATAAATAGGGAAGTTAACTTTCATGGGTGTAAAATTAGAGGACTTTAAAGTGACAGACTAAAACCCACAATTTGATTTATTGTTTTAAGTTTTGATACAAGATGTTAGCTCCTAGGTGGAGGGAGAAAATGAAACTCTAAAATGAGAGCTTGTACCTTCCCTACCTAACCTGTCTTCAATACTATTCAAACTATAGATTAGCAATGGTCTTTATATCATCTCTAGTAAGTGTAAATAATATTATTGCTCATATTTGACATAACATATTTAAAATACTTCCACAATCAAATTTTTATACTTCTTACTGATTCATGATAAATAAAATGATATTTTGATTATATTGTCTTCATCTTGCAAATATTTAGTTAAGTTAATTAGTTATTCACTTTATTTTCAATTATAAAAAATTTAAAAAAAAATCAAATTTTCATTCCTATTATAGTATCTTAAGTTTAAGTAAGAACATTTTGCTGAGTAGGATTTTTGTTATCTAAATTTTCTAGTTTTTTAAAAAGTGCATATTGTCAGTTTTCCCTGTGGGTTCGATATTCGGGGCTTAATCAAAAAGTTTTATATTACTTGATGACGATACATATACTTGCATAAAATCTTATATTTAAATATTATAATTATATTCTTCTTTGCTTCATGGTAGAAAATTTACCTAGCTTTTGCTTTGGAATAAATTTTTGGCTTTGTTGCAAAATATGAACTATTAAGAAAATTAAGCATATGTTGCATACGTCGCAATAAACATCTACATAGAAAGTCAGGATCATTCTCGACCATCTATCAGTACAAGATCTGGTTTTCCTACCTTTGGCGCTCTGTCACTTTTTATGAAACTAAGTTTGTTCTGCTTCCCCATAATGCACATATGACTCACGTGTCCACACCTGAGTAAATCTGTAGTCATATATAGTGTGTTAGTTTTTTTACTCTGAGTTAGTACTAATGCTCATTTGGTAACCTTCCATGTGCTATCTGAGAACACTACCAAATGACCACTCTCATTGAGCTGCCAACCAGATATGAGGTTTTTCTTCAACTCAAGAAAGTGTCTGAACTTTTGCAAAGTCCATTTGCTCTTGTTAGGGAGTTTCATATCAACGTCTCCTATCCCTAGCACGTTCAGAGCTATTCCATCAGCCAAATATATCTTCCCAAAGTCAGCTGCAACATAGTTTTGCATCAACTCCATGTGAGAAAATGTAT